GGTTTAAGTGTACTAAGGAACATTTAAAGGGCAATGGAGCAGAACAAGAAAATTAAGTCTTTTCCTTTTCAATTATCTACACTTAGGATGGTCCACCTGTTCTTCTTGCATCATATTTATTGATCTCATGGGCTGAATATAAATAGAAAATATGTATATATTATATGCATATAATGTAAATATAAAATATATATTTTCTATATATAATATAAATATAAAATATATTTTATATATATATAAATATAAAACCTCAACAAACATTAACAGTTAACTTAGAAGAGCCAAAGAATCTATGAAAAGGCCCAGCCACTCACTTCTGAGAAGTCTGTTTGGTGGGGCCTAACAAATTCAGTTCATAAAAGGTCAAGACATCAATTCAAAACCAAGAGAAGGCAGTATTCAACATAAGTAGATCATTTAAGTATCAATAATGAGAAAAAGGCTGAGTTATCATTGCTTTCATTTATGATTAAAAATAAATTAAAAAACCTTAAAAAAGAGAGGTAAAAGCCTCTACTCAGTATTCTTATATCAAAGCTTCCCCATTAAAACAAGAGTAGAAAAGGGAACTATACATTGCACTGGAAGAATCTGAAGAACATAACCTTTTCTCTGTTCTTGATAAGTCAAAGAAAGTTTGTTAATGTTATCACTTGGCTTCACTTTTCTCCCCTCGTACCCTGATTATTAATAGTGCGATTATCATCTAGTCCTAAATTCCTTTCCGCCTTTTCCTATCATTGCACACATCTTACCAAACAACAACTCAGGAACATTCGCTCCACTCACCTCCTCTAACCTTCAAATGCTGCTTTTTTTTTGTTATTCTACCTCGTTTGACTCTGTGGCTCCCATTGTGAGGTTTTCTTGGCAAAGATACTGGAGGAGTTTGCCATTTCCTTGTCCAGTGGATTAAGACAAATAGAAATTAAGTGACCTGTCCAGGGTCACCTAGCTAGGAAGTGTCTTGAGGCCATATTTGAATTCAGGTCTTTCTGACTCCAGGCCCAGTGATCTAGCCACTAAGCCATCTAGCTCCCTAAATGCTGCTTTACAGAGCTGGTAAAAGTCATATAGTTGAGCTAACTGGTTCCACTACTAATTTATTTTACCTGATCTCAATGAGGCCCTCACTACAACAAGGCAAGTCCTTGTCCGCTTTCCAAAAAGTGGCTACTTCAAACCTACTCTTTTATTTTCAATCCTCCCTCACCCACTTTCTCACTTGAGGACCTCAGTTTTTACTTAACTGAGCAAAAAGGTCATTCACTGTGAATTCCCTTTTCTCTCCTTCTGTGCATCTCATTACTCCTTAAAATCATCCCCCATTCTCTATTACTGCCATCTCTGATTGCAAGAGAGCCGTTCTCCTTAACAAGGCCAATCCCAATCTATATGCCCTTGATCCCATACCCTCCTATCTTTTTCAGCAGATTGCCGCCATTATCATCTCCTCTTTCACTAACTTTGAATCTCTCCCTAGCTGCTGGTTCCTTTACTGCCAAGAACACATCCAAGTACCTGTCATATTTACAACACATTCTCTAGACCCAATTATCCCCTCTATCATCAAATATCTGTGCCTCCAGTTCCTTTCCTCTCTCTTCTAAACTCTTAGCAATTTAGCTTCTAATTTTATCTTAGATCAGACATCTGATCATGTTACCCCATAACTCAATAACATCCAATGGCTCCCTATTACCTCTAAGTCCAAATATAAACACCTTTTGTCATTTAAAGTGCTCTACAGGTCATCTGGCCCCTTTTTCTCTTTCTAGACTTCCTACACATTATTCCCCTCCACACACTCTCTGATCTAGGTACATAGATTGCTCCATATACATAATGCACACTCTCACTCTCTCTCTCTCATCTCGATGCATTTGCACTGGCTTCTTGAATGCTTCTGCCTCTTAGAATCTCTGGTTTCTTTCAAGACTCAGCTCAAACATTACTTTCTACAGGCCAGTTAGCGTCTTCCCTTTCAGGTTACCTTATATTTACACTGAATATAATTTTGTTAGGTACATGTCTCACATGTTAGAATGTAAGCTTCTTCAAGACAGGGGCTGTTCTTGCATTTTTTTTTTTTAATCCTAACATTTATCAGACTGCTTGGGACAGAGTATACATGTTAAGAAATCTTTGGGGAAAAAAAAAAAGAACTCTTTCACTGGAATCAGTCAAATAAATAATAAATCATTGCCTGATTGGAAGATCTGTGCCTCAGTAGAATGCCTCAGGAATCTGTTGTTGGCCCTCAGATGTTTAATATTTTTATCAATGATTTGAATAAAGGCATAAGTGGACCGTGTATCAAATCTACAGATGACATACAGTTAGGAACAAACATTGAATGAATGACAGAACTATGATTAAAAAATATAACAGTTTGAAATGCTAGGCTTATCTAATAACATGTGATTCAACAGGTATAAATACTATCTTGCACTTGGATTAAAAAAATCAATTTCAAGTCAAGATGTTCTGAAGAGTACAAGATAAGAGGACCATGGCCAGCTAGTGCATCGGAAAAAGTTCTGGGGATCTGAAACAGAAACCAAAAATTCTAATACAATCTTTGGCTGCATTGAAAGACATACTATTCAGAATAAGAGAGGCAACAGTCCAGCTACATTCTGACCTTGTCAGATCTCATTCAGAGTACTATTTTGATTTCTGGATTCCACATTTTAGGAAGCAAACTGAGAAGCCTGTGAGCCTCTAGAAGGCAATCAAGATGGTGAGGGGCCTCCAGATCATGCCATGTAAGGATCAGCTGTAGGAATTGCAGCAAAGATGAAAAAGGCTTATGGGGGACATGATAGCAGTTGTCAAGCATCTGAAGATCTGTCATATGGAAGAGGTATTGAACTTTTTCTGTTTGGCCTCAGAGGACAGAACAAGGAGCAATGAATGGTAAGTCACAGAGGGGTATATTAGTTTTGATGTCAACAGTAACTTCTTAACAGGGCTATCTCAAAGTGAAATGGCCTGCCTCTTCAAGCACACGCTAGATGATCACTTGGGTATGCTGAATGTATGATCTAAACTAGATAGCTTTTGAGGCCCCTAGATTTTATTACCTTAGGCAAGATGTTTAACCTTTCTGAGCCTCAGTTTTCTCATCTTTAAAATAGAGATAAGTATAATGGATAGAGTCAGCCCCAATCAGGAAGATCTGAGTTCATGTCCTGCCTCTAACATACAATGACTGGGAATTTGATCCTGGACACATCACAACCTCAGGCACCCCTAAGACTATAAATTACACAGCAGATGGCAATCTTCATTGGGTAGAGAGTTTGCTTACTTGGAGTTCCCTATACCAATAAAATTACAGGTCCTGTATTCCTTTCCCCCTACTACCTCTCAAGGAGGTACTCCCTATCTCACAGGGTTGTTGTGAGGAAAGTCCTTTATAAATTCATGCTAGAGCGAGTTTTTTTAAATTATTTTCTTCTGAGCAGAAATCCTCAGACTCTTAGTACCCTACTGCCCTAAAGTCTGAAATTCTAAAGGAAATGAAATCATGGCAGAAAACTGATTAGATTCAGTCCTTTATACAAACCTCTGCAGCTTTGATTCTTAACCTGAGGTCATCAGATTTGGCTTTAAGAAAATCTATATTCGAAATTCGACTATCAACTTTGGCTTTTTCCATAGAAAGATGCAGCTCTGCTTTCTTGAGGTCCCTTTAAAAGGTAAAATTTCCTTATTTGAATGCAGTATTTTTTTTTAAAAAACATTAAATAGCAATACCAGTTTTTATATTCAACTTTTATCCATTTGTGGAATACCTGTTTTGTTGACTATATGCAGTAATTTTAGATCCCAAGTTGGGATCTAGCTTTCTCTAGCCATCCAACATACTTTTGGTTACCTCCTCCACATTGCCAGTTGGTGTTTTGCTCAGAGAATGCAAATTAAGGTTAACATCACGTCAAACATACTTAGGAAAGTAAATCTACTGTCCCTCAAAAGTCACGAAATACATTCCAAAGCTACTTTGAAATTAATTTTTAATGCACCCTTTTGTGGATTATACTTCTCCAGTATAATGGCAACAGCATACAGAATTGGAAAGGGAGATTCTGAAAGAACTGTTTTTAAATTTACTTTTGGAAAAAGCTACACTATTTTATTAGTATTTCATTTCTCTTATTATCAAAATTAAGAAATGCCAGTGTTATCAGTTGAATGAATTAATGGGCTACATTAGATAAAACTATCTATCAAACAAGTAAACAATTCTAAATACAAGAATATTTGATATGTAGACTATTTAAGATTACAATAGATTCCTGTTCTAGTATAGTCTATGAGGATGGGAAAGAATGACAACATCATTTAATTATCACATATATAAAAATAAGCATCTATGTATTCTTTAGATAAGTAAATAATGAAGTTTCAGTCTATTATAATTGCCAATCGTTTATTAAATGTCTACTAAATACAAGACATTATGAATGATTTTCTAAGTTTCCCTCAACTTTCAATGTTTTATGTTATGCACTTTGCATAAGCAAAATCTCTCTCTCTCTCTCTTTCTCTCTCTCTCTCACTTTCTCCCTGCTTCTGTGCAAAGAGAAAATAGAATCAAAGATACTGCCACCAATTTGCTATGTGACTGAACAACTTGCTTTTCCTCTCCAGGCCCATTTTCTCTTCTGTAAAAATGAGAGTGTTAAATTCAATGATGTCTAAGGTTTCTTCCAACTCTAAAAATTACATGAATCTATGACACTAACAGGGCCAGGAGGTACCCTATGAGTATATGTCCAGATAGAATAAAGCACATGTGCCTCCACAGATACCAAAGTATTTACTGCAGCAGTTTTTGTGATGATAAAGAACTGGAAATAAAGTAAATGCCTATCAATTGGGGAATGGCTAAACAAACTATAGTACATGAATATAATGGAATATTATTGTGCTGTAAGAAATAACAAATGTGATAAACACACAAAAAAAGGCAAGATCTACATGAACTGAGGCAGAGTAAAGTAAGCAAAGCCAAGAAAACAATATATGCAATGACTATAATAATGTAAACAGAAAAAACCACCAAAAAAATCAGAAGTGAATGCTATAAAAATTATAAAAAACATGTATGGCTCAAAAAGAGATATAAAAAGATACCCTCATTCTACCCTTTAGCAAAGCAGTTTCTAGGGGGTAGACCCAAGATGGCAGAGTAAAAGTAATGACTTGCTTGAGCTCTCCCCTAAACCCCTCCAAATACCTGTAAAAAATGGCTTTAAGCAAAGGAGTTTCTCAAACGTTGTACACTGTACATATGTCATACTTTTTCAGTGTACTGATCTGTTATGCTGATTTCCTCCCCTCTTTTTCTTTGGTCTTTAAAAATGACTATTTGTTACATGGGATGACTCTCTGGAAAGGGAAGGAGAAGGAATACTGGGAGAAATTATGGTAATGTTAAGAAAAAAACCCCTAAAAACATACTTTTTTTAAAAAGCACATGTTCATGGGCACCAAAATACTATTGCACATTTAAAGAGAATTCTTTGTCCCTTAACACCCCCAAGCCCATAAGCCCACAAATAAAAGAAAATGCACGTCACTAAGGAAGAAAGTAAAACACACAAATGAGCAAATACATAATAGAAAATGGCAGCTCTAAATAATATAAACCTGCCCCAAATTAATGATTGCACAGTATTTCAATCTGCTTTTACAAATTAAGACAGTCACTATTTCCCCTCATTTACTCACTCTCGTAGACATTTTTCTAGTATTAGAGTTGCAGTTAGGTTTTTTCCCAATTTGCTCAATTCAAACTCCATTTCTTCATTTCTGGCTTTGGCGCGAAAAAGATCAGCAGCCAAACTATTCACTGCAGGGATAAAACTAAAGACAAAAATCTGATCACATAACTAAGAGATTTGATGCTCTACAGAGACCAATCACACAACTACTTCTTATTTCTAAAAATCCCTTTTGGCCTTCTACTTCCCTGAATAAAAAGAATAGATGTTTTCAAGTCAATTTGCTGATAAATTCTAGTTGTTTGACACTGGCCAGGTCACCTAACCTCTCTGAGCTTCACTTTTCTTTTATAAACCTCAAAGCACTCCATAAATGTTACTATATTAACTATCAGTCATCTACCTGTGAAGTAGTCATTTTAAAAATTAACCCTGTATGGATTCTTATAATCTGAATATACATATACATACCATTTTCTAGGTGCTCAAGTATGCACACATGCATATGCCCTCTCTCTCTCTGAGAAAGAAGCTCACTGGATAAAGCGTGGAGCCCTCTCCCGTTTGAAGACTCTTCAAACAGAGGAAGTAGAGCTCTGAAGCCAAGAACCATGGACATCTAATCTACTGCTTTTCTTATTGTTTTTAGAGAAAAATATTAGTACTGCATATTCTCCCACAACCTTCCTAGTAATAAGAGATGAAAGTCATCCAAATGTTTGCTGAAGTGAAATGAAATGAACAGGGCTAAAAAAATGATGTTTGGTCCTGGGAGAGAAAAAAGTTATTATTTAATTAATGGATCATCTAATGCCCTATATTAATCTGAACTAATGCACCTTTCATTACCTCATGGAAAATAAACATTTGACCAAATTCATTTTTTAGCCCATACCATTATTCTAAACTGAACACTTCTCAGAATAAAAAAGTCATTAAATCAATACCTTCTGGGGCAATTCATTGGCAGGTATTACAACTGACTTACCTAGCTAGGGAGGTATCCTTTGTTTCAAGCACCAGTGCACTGTCAACTAAAGCATTAAGATAGCTGCTTCCAATACTAGAAAGACTAGTGAAAGACAGATTGACACTTTCCATGAGAAGATCTTGGAGATACTTGGCTAAAAGATTAAAAAAAAAAATCTCATAATGAATACCACAATTATTGTAAATCATGAATCTAAATCAACTCTTAATTGATTATTCCTGTATTTCTACCATCCCTTTTAAGCACTTCAGGTACATTCTGACCATAACTCTTACATTTTCACAGGTAGCAAATATTGAACATTTATAACGTAGAACCTACAATGTGCCAGGTACTGTGCTAAGCAGTTTACATATATTATCTCATGTAATACTCGAGGTAGGTAATACTATCATTATCCCCAGAGAAAACTGAGGCAAACAGAGCTTAAGTGATTTTGCCTAGAGAAACAGAGCTAATAAATGTGTGAGGCCAAGTACGAACTCAAGTCTTCCTGATGTCAGGCCTGGGACTCTTCTACTGAACTACCTACTTGCCTCTAGATGTAATGAAAAAAAACAAAAACAAAAAATTAACATGGACACAGGACCACTGGATCTAACATTTTAACTGATCAAATCAGTCAAATATTATTTTTCCCAGTAAAGTTTGAATTAATTGACTGACTATTCTGGTGTTAATGGTAACATTTCCTTGACCAGAGAAGCTAATTCTCACACAGTGAGTGAAAAATAAACTTAAGCCTCCAAAAGTCTGTGTTTTTTGCTTCCTAGATCAAACTTTCCTATTAATTCCTTCTCCAAAAAGAAAAAAAAAGCATTATCTATGTACTTTTGAATTATTTTTATGCTACATTACCCCAACCACAGAAATTAGACATTGACCATGTTAATATTATCATGTGCATTATTAGGGGCACATGACCTTGTGAGTTTGGACAATTAAGGCTACACTAGTGACCCACAAGCTGAAAGTTTTGGCCTACTTTAGTCCCAGCTTTGAAACCATAGCTTTCTTGCTTGAGCTAGGTAAGAAGGTGGCTTATTCTCAAATATTAAAAAGTTTGTAGATTCCAAAAATCTGTACAATTATTATGAGACAGTCTGGCAATTAATATCCTAAAAACTAGCTTCCAATATTCACAAAACACTATGCTAGGCCATGTGAGTGATACCAAGAATAAGACATGGTCTCTGCCCTCAAGAAGCTTCCCATCTAATTAGGGAAACAACATATACAAAACTAATAATGTTAAAATAGCATAGGCCAAATAGTACATGAAGGAGGTTTAAAATGCCATGAGAATTCTATGAAGGTAGTGATCATGTGCAGTCAAAGAGATCGAGGCATTTTTGGAAGAGGTTGGCATTTGAAATGGGTTTTGAAGTCCAGATAACTTTTACAATATCTATAAGGTGAAGAGAAATGGTATACTGGAAGGAGCGAAAGTTTGGGGTCAGAAATACTAGGTTCAAATTCAAGTTCTATCACTACTCTGTATGATCCTGAGCAAATCACCTAATCCCTCTGTACCTCAGTTTCCTCATCTATAAAATAAGGATTTTGGACTAGATGACTTCTAACATCTATTCTAATTTTCTATGATTTAACTCCTCTGCATCTCACACAAAAAGCTTACTTAGTTTTACAAGAATCAGTGAAGATTCCAGAGTTAAACTCACCTTCTGATTCATATTCTCTTGCCTTCTGTTTCAAATCTTCTATTACCAAGGAGACATCCCTGTCTCGTGCTTTGTTACATTCCGAAAGATGATATAAGATATCTGTGGTCCGTTGATTCACCTCATATTTCGGAATGGGCTGATCACCAAAAATCTTTTTCAACCATAAGGCAATCTGATTATTGAAAGGAATACCCACATTATAAACATTTTAATAGTTAACATTTATATAGTACTTGAGGTTTACAAAGTACTTTTTACCATTTAATCATCACATATTTATATTTAATATTTGATCCTCATAACCCTATGAGGTCGTCATTATTGTTATCCTCATTTTACAAAGAAACTGAGCATTCCAGATGTTAAGTGAATTGTCCAGGGTCACAGCTAATAAGTAACTGAGGCAGGTTTCTGACTTAGGTTTTCCTGACTCAAGTCCATCATTACATAACTACTGAACAACCAGGAAATCAACAAAAGACAAGGGAAAAGGTAACTAAAAGCCACCTACTCATCTCTAGAGGTATTATAGTTTCCAGTGTATTTTATTAACGCTTAATAGGCATTCATTTCAGGAATCAAACATTCAGTAACAATCTGGATACAGGGAATAACATACCAACACAAAACTCCAAGAATATGGTCTATTCCACAACAAAACAATTTCATTAAATTTTTTAAAGGGCCATGTATCAAGCAGTCAGGACATTTGAGCAAATGAAATAGCCTTTGTACCTCACTTTGCAAACCCTTAAGTCCTATATAAATACAATTGTAGGGGCAGCTAGGTGGCTAAGTGGATGCAGCACCAGCTCTGCAGTCAGGAGGACCTGAGTTCAAATGAGGCCTCAGATCAAACACTTGACATTTACTAGCTATTTGACCCTGGGCAAGTCACTTAACCCCAAGTGCCTAAAAAAAAAAAATACAATTGTAATAGTTTTCCTTATGTGAGGTTTGAGTGAAGAGGCTACAAATACTCCAGGACTGCGTAACTCTTAGACAAAAGTAATGGGGGAAAAAGGAGAGGGAAGAGAAAAGGGACAGTATCATAATACAGTGAAAAGAATGCTATGTCTTGAGTCAGAGCACCTGAGTTCAAATCTTGGTTCTGCTGGTCACTTTACTACCTGTCTGAACTTGGGCAAACCAATTGTTCACTCTCCTCCTTTACTCTACGACCCAGCTATAGGGGGCGATTTGTATTTTCTTAAATAAGACACCCCATCTCCAACCCTTTGTACTGCCCGCCCCCACCAGGAACGACTAACCAACCCATGCACACTTGGACGTCTCAGTTTTCCTGACTTTAAGACTGGGCTCAAACCCAACCTTCTGAAGGAGGCCTTTTCTAGTCCCCCCTTCTGCGAGGGTCTTTCCCCTCCCAGATTATCTTCCATCTTCTCTTTACATATTGTGTACTTAACTGCTTACATAATCTGCCCCATTAAATGTCGAATGAATAGATGCCCTAACAGAATTGAGTGAACAGATAAATCCTTGCGCCCATTTCTAAACTCCTACAATTTACCCCCGCTAAACTAAGTCTGCTGCTTTCTCTGTCCCTACCCCTTCTGAACGTGGGGGAGAACGTGACTTCCAAACTACTTTGCAGCTCAGGGGGAAAGGGGGAGGAAAAGCTTGATAAGGGGAAGCAGCAGAGGACGAAAGGAGGGTCTGGCAATAAAACCCAGATCTCCCTGCTCCAGCCTCCTGGGCCATAATCTGTTAATCTGAAAATAAACATTTATGAAGCGCCTACTGTGTGCCAAGCACTGCTAAATGAAAATACGTCTGAATACGTTTCCAATCTGGTGGGAGATTAGGCTTGATGCGGCGGGTTCCAGGCAGCGGATGCGGGGGAGGGGCTCCACTGGAGGGGGGACTCCACTGAAGGGGGGGGCTTCACTGAAGGGGGGGGCTTCCCTGGAGGGGGGAGGGGCTCCACTGGAGGGAGGAGGGGCTCCACTGAAGGGGGAAGTGGGGCTCCACTAGAAAGGAGAGGCGCAGAGAGGGCGCTTGATCTCGGATCGGGGGAATAGGGAGGGGACGGTACATGTTTGGAGGCTGGGGCGGCCTCGAGTCGAGGTCCAGGGTCCCGCCTCGTGGGAAGGGTCCCGCAGCCCCCACTCCCGATCACCTTCTCAGCCTTTTCCTCCTCGTCCTTCTGCTCCTCCTCCCGTCTCTCCATAGCCTCCGGCCGCAGGGTCCGCGGCTCCCGCCACGGCCCGTGATGCTCCGCGCCACCAGCTCCGCCTCCAACTAGGCAACTTCCAGTTAAGCAAGAGGGGGCGCTCGTGTCTGGGAGGGGGAGGGGGAGGGGGAAGGAGAGCGGTCGCATGCGACTTTTCCGGCGGAGTGCCCGTCCCCCACCGGCCTTTCTGGGAGTTGTAGTTCTTTCGTGGGCCACCGGAAATGGTTCCCGCTTCCTAAGCCCCGCCTACTTGCTTTCCCCACCCCTTCTCTTGTTGGACGGGAAGGCTTATAAGCAAAACTCCAATCAGCAATGACCTTGTTCTCTTTCCTTTTCTTTATTTACTTTCCTTCCCTATTTTTCCGACTAGAATCCTTGTCTCCTAAGAATGCCTGCACTTCGTATTGGCATACACTTTTCACTTTATTTTTCTTGGATTTTTATGTAGTTGTGGGTTATTTGCTTTATTTTGTTTGCAACAGGGCTAATATGGAAATATGTTTTGAATGACTTCAAATATATAATTGATATCGTATTTCTTGCCTTCTCAAGTGGGTAAGAGGGGCGAGAGAGAATTTGGATCCCAAAATTTTAGAGATGAATGTTAAAAAATAAAAAAGTAGGAAATATCTAACGAAATAAAAATGTAAAAAGAATGCACTTTCACATGCTTTGTTTAGCAAATGAGATTTTGGTGAAAATCGTAAAAAGTGGAAGTTGAAAATCCAGTTAAAACAGAACAAAACATTGCCCTGCTTCCTGCTCCCAGTGATGCTTATTGCCTATAAACCCTTAAAATCACTTAATTTTCCTAGTCCTGTTTCTTCATCAGTAAAGCGTGGGAGGTGGACTAGGTTGGTGATCTATAATGTTAGGATCCTTCAGATCCCTGTTAGTAACTTTGCCTCACATCCAATTCCAACTGGAAGGCACAGCAGTCCCTCTGGGCATTTTCTACTAGATTACAGTGCTCCCTGAGAACAGGCACTATTATAAACCTTTGTATTTCCCTGCATGGGAGATATTAGTTATATGTTAAATCAATAAATACCCTAACTTTCAAAAAACTTAACAGATAAATCCTTCTGCCCATTTCTAAACTTCCAGTAGTTTCCCCCATTAAACCTCTGCAGCTTTTCTCCCCCTATCCTTTGTATAAGTTCTCAGTAAAATTTCCAGATATAAGTCAAGAGAACCAACTTCAATGTGCCAGGTGATGAGGATGGGAGCTAGACCCCAAAAAGGAAAAACCCTGGACTTTCCCACATGGTCAAATCTCTGGTGGTAGATTATAGCTCTGAGGCTATAATCAACTGGCCTTTTTTTGTGGTTACAACCAATCCCCCAGTTCTCGGTTACCCTTAACCTACCCTATTCCTCCCTATGTCCCCTGGCCACTTCCCACCCTTAATCCTATCTAGGCTCCATTCTTCCTTGGCCACCCCTG